TGAAGTACGTAAGTCCAAATCAAACTCTATCAGTTAACGACAAGACTCCAACAAAGCTTTATCAATTGTGTTGTCATGGAATAATCCCAAAGTACTTGAACCGGCCTGGTGTTTTCTTCGCATTGTTCTTTTTTGCGCTCCCCAAAAAAAGAAAAAGTATAGGAATGCGAAAATTGGCAAGTACCTCTCTAATAAATGGGCGCTTATCTGCCCAAACCAATTAAATGCAAAAAAAAGGAAAAGCACTGAAGTTGTTACAATTCAAAATCAATTTGAGGGTCAATCATACCAAGCGGATCAAGAATCATTAAAGATTAAACGATCTTAACGTTGTTTAATATTGACCAAGATGAAGAGGACATTAAAAGGCAATAATCATTTTGCTTGGTTTTATATATTGAATTTATTATTAGATTATCGACTATTGCTAATCAGCACATTTCTTGCATCGTACATAAACTAATTGGCGCAAACAAGTTCAAGTCACATTTTGTTGCAATTGCATAGATTGATAAGTTTTCTAGGCAAACAATTCAAATGAAATACCAAATGTATACGGTAGGCAAACAAATGCAAAAGCATGCATATACGACAAAAAAAGTTATCCTCGGAACTATGTTAAATATATTACAATTTAGTATAAATGAATTAATTACCCCCAAGATATTTTCATTAAATTAAAAGAGCGAAAAAATATTATTTTTGTAATAATTAGTAATTTTATGGAATAAAAGAGATTCCAATTTGATTAGATAGGACTGATAATTGACTCTTAAATCTATCGAAAGTAAATGCAAAAAAATTACAATTAGTTGTTACTTTTTCTCATAATTCTATTCAATTTGTCATTTCCAAGTTCCATGTTTAACAATTCCGAAAATCGCTATTTAAGTAATATATGTTCCTCCGTATACATCGATAAACTGAATATTTAATCTTTGGTGCGAATACATTGGACTGGCATTCATTTTCACACCAACATGAGAAGTGAGAAACACAAAAGAGGGGATAGCCAACTTGAGCAAAAGAAAATACATGAACTAAAACTCTACTCAATAAATACAAGTGTAAATCGATTAGGATGATATACAGATCTGGGGGCGGGTCGCGGCGGAATGAGCCGCAGGGCTCTTAGTCTATTTTCACATTGGAATAGATTTTGCGCACGAAGAGATTCGTGCCCACATAGCCGACGGTGCCGCAGATAATTCCCAGGGCGCCGCTGAAGAGAGCCATGTAGCCAAAGTAGAAGGCCGTTTGGAACAGACCGAACATTCTGTAAAATAAAAAAAATAAGATTCGTTATATTGACCGTTCTAAAAATCAGTAATATGCGACTCACTTGGTCTTAAAGAAGAAGTAGTAAAAGGAGTAGGCATACACATAAATGGATGTGGAGCCCGCCGCCATGAAACTCGTCCACTGCCATCGGTAATCCTCAGCATTTAGCAGGAAGTATGTGCACACAATAGTAACACACACAGTGACCACAGTTAGGATGCTGAACACCAGCAACATAAAGCCATAGACATAGTAGATCTTGTACGCCCAGAATGAGGTGAAAATGAAGTACCTGTACAGAAAAATTATATTTTCATTTGTCATATTAAATAATACTTTTGTAAGAAATGGCCATGCCCGTTTCTTGATAAAATCTCATATATGTGACACACAATACTTACATCTCAATAAAGATGGATCCAAAAGGCAGGACGCCGCCTAGAAGTACAATAATCAGCGGCTCCATGTACCATTTCTTTTCGGGAATGGGTCGTGGCACAGCGTTCACTCGGCAAGGGAAGTCCGGCTGCCCATCCAGATTGCGACCCACCACAGTACCCACCAAAGTCAAGGGCAGGATCACAAATAGGCAGATGCAGGTTACTGCCACCATGGTTCCAAAGGGAATGGCCCTTGAAGCGTGATAGCCGATGGCGATGAAGTTGATTAAGAAAGCCGTTCCGCACACAGACACTGGGACTGTAAAAGCGGACACCAGCATCTGCCGGATCCACAATCGTCCTCCCAATCTTGCATATAAGGATCCTCCAAAGTAACCATTAATTGGAGAAGTGGCAGCATATACAAATATAGCCGTGGACAGCATAGAGCCACGTTCCGTGTACAATTCGCCGACAATGGCGAACATAATCACACAGAAAACTACCGAAATAAGTTGGTAGCCAGCTCCCACCAAGGCCGAGAATAGCAGCGTATTGGGTGGTGAACGGAAGACGTCGCCGTGAACCTGTTTCCAACCGTATTCATCACCAAGATCGCGCTCCATGTCGTCCACTTCCTCGTCCTTGCTATAACGGGCATAATCCTTGCGCAGAGTTCGCATAAGAATCATGGCCACGAGGCCTACCAGGAAGATGACCATCATGAAACTGTTGAAGATGCTGAACCAGTGGATCTGTAGGTGATAGTGGTAAAATGTATTTTTATAATTTGTTTTTTTTTATTAATTTTTTGCCGATAGCTGGTGTAGTAGTTTCTAACCTACAACCTAGCAAATTAAATAGTTAAAAATTCAACTGAAGAGAATTATTACTTAATTATATTAAAATGTATGATATTCATTCTAAAAAGTGATAAGAACATTTTTTTGACTGACTATAATGGATGAAAATATGATTCAGTCACAAATGGTTTCCAATGGGATTTTAAATATTTCTACGTAATCTATTAACAAGAAAAAAAACAAAACAACAAATGGGTGCGGGTGCTATCTTGGATTCATAGGTAATGTCGTCCTAGTATTTAATACATACCCTGTGCTGGAAGAAGTTGGGGTCCAGGTACTTGTCGAATCGGTTCTTGAACTCCACCTTGCTGGACTTCCAGTTGACTTCGTAGGAGAAGTTGATGTGGGATCCCGGCTTGAGTTCCTCCCGACCATCGGTGGTCAGGGTAATGTCCACGATTTGCTGGCCATTGTAGCCAATGTCGAACTTCTTGTGCGTAAAGATATAGTACTTGCCATCCCGTTCGTCCCGTTCTCCGACTTTTCCCCATATCGGAAGACCATCAATATACATCTGATACCAGTACTCGTTCTTCACCGCATAGGTAAAAGCCTTGGCGCTCTCCTCCGTCAAAGTGACCATGCAGATGACGGATCGCGGTGCATCGATCTTGAACTCCATCTCGTAGCCACTGAACTCCAGCTCTACTCCTTGGAGGGCTTCGCTCAGGGTCTCGTGGTAGTGGGAAATCGAGGATTTTTGGCCGCTGCAAAAGGGTAGCGAAAAATAGGCGTAGGTCTCCTGCCGATTGTGGTACGGACCCACTGTGTTCATCCAAAGGACCACCTCCTCCCGGTCATTGTACTGCCCGGAAATGTACGAATTATGTTATATTTAGTTGGAGCTCGAAAGATAATACCATTTAAAGCCAAACTCACCTTGTGGTTGTGCTCATCCGCCTGGGAGTGCGACACGTAGCAGCTGGCGATGAGCAGACATAAACAAATTGCACGAAACTGTGGTCGAACCACCGTGGTTTTCGTGGCGGCTGCGATGCTGCGGCCCATCGTCGGTTATGCAGGTGGTGACCTCGATTGCTCGACTTCCGGGTGACCTCGCTCTGCCGGCGTGCTTTGAATGCCCTGGCTAAGATTGGCTTTTCAAACAATTTTGTGGCAAACACAAATTTGCCGACAGAAAAAATATCTCGTTAACGTAAAGTCAGTTCATTTGTGCTGGTTCCGGGTTTTTGAACCAAATCACAGAACTAGAACACACGTCACTTGGCCAAAATGAGCGTTATGAAACACTGTTTCTCTGGGGCTAGTGTGACCATTAACCTTTTTTTGAAAATTCAGTTGGGCTAACGTTAACTTTTAAATTTTCAAGATCCGCTTTATCAATAATTATAATGATTTTATTTTTTATTTACTGTGTTGATTGAAATACTGCAAATGTATACATTAAGAAATTATACATTGTAATTGAATTCTTATTTTATACGAATGCTTATTTGTTTCTTTTAATCTCCTGGGAGAAGTACATATACATTTCCTAAAACGTAAACAAAAATTTAATTATTTTTCATATTGTACATATATTGATACTTTTACCGTCAACTTGTTGAAATAGACCCAAGTTTTTGTAATCCAAAGGTATTGGATGTTCTCAATTTCATCCTCAATAAAACTTAAACAATTCAAACAACAAACTATAATATAACAAAATATAACATGCTTTTTTATTTTTCAGAAAATATCGGTTAAACAATTATGTGCTATAATAAATGTGGTCAGTGCATTATAAGAATTATGCTCTAAGCTTCATTAGCGATAAAATCAAAAATTCCAAAAACTAGTTTGAGATAAGGTTTTATCGTTTCTGAACTTTGTGTACTTTTATTAAAAGTTTTTTTCAAGAGTACAGTTTGTACTTAACTCCATATGAAATTCTTGTAAACTGGTCAAGTCCGCTATAAATTTTTTGAATGTAGAGTTCAGCATCGTGCTTCCGTATAACTTCAAAATCCCCTGCCCCCTAACTACAGTCCTGCCGCTGTAATAGTTATTATAATGTGACTCAGAACGACGGTTAAGAAAAAAAGAATTCTTAAAAATGATTGTGGAAGTCGCCGCACTTATCAGTACACATAAAAATTATTCGTATGTTGAATCAAGCCACTGCGGTACCATTTATTTTCTTTTTGCACTGATTTTACTTTTACATAAGATTAAAGAAATGTATTTTAAACTATATTCGGTATGTCTTAACATAACTACTAAGAACAATGGTTCCGTATTCTCATTATCCTGTATCCGCGGTATTTTTTACAAATTTTGTAAAAAAAATTTTTTTTAGAATTCATTGCCGATTAGTAAAAAAAAAGTTTAGTAGAATTTACTGAGAATTACTGTATGTTGCAGTTACTTATTATTAAGAATAATTTATTATTGAACAAATTTTTTCCGGTGTACATTTTCTCTTGCAGACTGGCAGAATTTATTAATTGGATCAGTCAGTTAAAAACATTTGTCGGATACACATAGTTTTGACTCCGTTCATTGTAGTTAAAGCTTTCCGTGTTTCTGTGTTTGAAAAATATTTTAAAGGTTTCGAAGTAAAGGAATCTAAATTGTTTTCAAAGATAAAATAAGTATTTTAGAATAGTCTGTGTAACGGTAAAAATGGAACTACTGTTTGCATTTTTTACTGCGTTTCTGTTGTTCGTGCCGCAATCCAATACCGAGATTATCGACTGTGATTTCTTCGACACTGTAGATATCTCGGATGGAAAAAGATTCTCAAATGGCTCATACCTGTATGAGAACCTACTCATTCCCTCCTATTTGACGGATGAATATGACTTTAAGCTTCTTTCCAATGGATCTAAGGAGGTTGTAGCGAGCCACATAAGAGGATGTGTCTGCAAACTAAGGTCCTGTGCCAGGTTTTGCTGCCCCCATAACCAAATAATACAATGGGGCCACTGCTACAATAACACGACAACGGATGAGCTGAACAATGTCGATCCTTTCCTGAACGTAACCCTCAACAACGGGTCGGTGGTTAAAATGCACTTTAGAAAAGATCTAGTGGTGCAGTGGGATTTGCCCAAGCCCTGTGATGAAGAAGATTTGTACTCTCTAGATCACCAAGTAGAAATGGAAAAATACACATTGTTTGAGGTTTGCTTCATTAATAAATATAACAAATTAGACCAGTTTAATCGGTGTAGTCCTTCTCTAGAATGAAATTCTTTTACGCCACTTCGACAACGTACAGCTGAACAAGGCGGAATACTGCCTTCAGCATCTTAACTTCACAGACGGTAATATTCGAATTGCACCTCACCACTGTCCAATGGTGCATGTTAAAGAGGCGTCTAAAATTGAAAAGACAGTTGGTAATACAAAAATCACACTTTCTTTAATTTTCTCTGACGAATTTATCTTCCAATAGTGCTGATCCTATCGTTGACATGCATGGTTCTTACGATCGGCGTTTATCTCTTCGTTAAGAAACTTAGAAATTTGAATGGCAAATGCTTTGTATGCTACATGGCCAGCCTGTTTCTGGCCTACTTGTTCCTGCTTCTTGACTTGTGGCATTTAACAACCGGGATCTGCCTAACAGCAGGTTAGATATTAGCGACTATACGACCGAAGATCATTAAAACGTTAACACATTTTCTTGGTTTAATCGTTAGGATTTCTGGGCTACTTTTTCGTCATGGCTACCTTTTTCTGGCTTTCTGTAATCAGCCTGGATCTCTGGAACGGGATGAAAGGCGTCTTTGTGTTAGAAAATCGGTTTTTGGCCTACAATTGCTATGCGTGGGGAATGTCGGTGGTCTTGACCGGAATCACCTATTTATCGGATAAGCTCGTAGATAACGAGGATTGGAATCCTCGTATGGGCGCCAAAGGCTTTTGTTGGATCAACAGTGAGTTTCAGTTGTACTCTAATTTGAAGAAATTAACCAAACGTTTTATTTTTCAGCTCAAGATTGGTCTGCTATGCTCTACTTCTACGGACCGATGGTAGTGCTGATTCTCTTCAACATGACCTTGTTTATCCTGATGGCCATACCTTTAATAAGATCAAAGATGGAACTGAAGAAATTCGCCCGCAAGGATGGCAGAAAGCAGAAGCTGAAATCGGACAAACAAAAGTAATTCAACAATATTACATGAGATATATGCTTAAAATGACTCCCATAAATCCATTCCAGTTACGCACTATTTCTGCGGCTCTTTATCGTCATGGGGTTGACGTGGAGCTTAGAGATAATCTCCTACTTAGTGCAGAATACGAAGTGGGCGGCCAAGGCATTTCTAGTAGCAGATTACCTAAATTGGTCTCAGGGAATTATCACATTTGTGGTTTTTATTCTGAGACCCAATACGCTAAAACTATTAAAGACACAGTAAGTAACTTTACATTCGGCAAAATATTATCTCAGCAAGATATGTAAAATCTTAATCAAATCTTAAAGTTTCTTTGATGAAATTAAGGTTTAAATCAAAAATTTTATCTTAGAATATTTCCAAATCATCAGTGGAGTGGCATCAGTATGAAGTCAAGAGTAACCAGAACTACGACTGGGGAATCCGTATATCCTCAATCAAGCCCAAAGCCTGCTATTTTGAAGCCGAACTCAATCTGTGTGTAGAAATCTACAAATATATTTTCTATTATATCTACGATTTAATCTCTTTCACTAAAGTTAAAAATGAATTTTTATCAAACAGACTTTATGGATGACTTTGTATTAGTGTTATGTTATAAGTATGTTTAGTCATTTCCCCTGATTCCTAGAAATAAGAATGATTATAATAACTAGCAATCCAGTACAAACAAACATTCCTTTGTAGAAAGAGGTCGAAAATAATCTTTTCATTAACAAAGCATTTCCTATTCAAAACATTTCATACATTTTTAAACGAGAAGCATGAAGAATTTTATCAAACATAAATTGAAATTTCAATGACGTTGTCAGAAACATTTCTTTTGAGTGACTAAGCGTAGTTTGAAACAAATTCTGATAGTGAAATAACAGGATAATTCTTTTCAGCGGCCGTGATTTGTTTTACTTTATTAATGAAACGTTTTGGGTTTTTTAATAATACTCTTTGTAAAATAAACCAATGTCAAAGGTCTCACGTAGTTAAAGTGTAAATTTCTATTGTGAAAGAGGTTGTAGAACTCCTCCTGAAGAAAGCCATCTATCTAAAGGTTTTTCCTTACTTTACTTCTGAACAATCATGAGACCAGAAATGGTAATACTTATGCTATACGATTTCTCAGGATAATATTTGCTCATTAATAAAACAACATAGTGGTAAATCTACATTCGTTTTATTACTTGTACAAATTGTAATTTCAAAACTTTGAACATAAGGAGTGGGTCGTTCGATGCGGACCCTAAAGCAGCAGTCATCATCGATGTCGAATCTTCTTGTTTATGTGCCCGCTTTTCTTCGCCGTCGCACTGGAGTTGGTGGATAATTTGCTCTTTGTATTTGATGTGGGCGTGCCAAGGACATCTTTGTTTCCCGAGCTGACACCCCCACTGTTTGCAGGTCCTGCCACCACTCCGGCACTGGAGACCAGACTTCCTTCATTTCTATGCGAGGGTGAATCTGTAACAGCACAAGGCATTTTAAAGGTTATAACAAACAATGTGGGGCACATTAGAAGTTGAATTTTTCTGCATTACCCTTTTCATCTTTCAGTGTGCTCTTGATTGTTGTGGCTCCATCGTGGGCCGTTGTTGTGTTCTGATTGATTGAGATCTGATTGTCGCTGGAGTCTTCATTGGTAATGGAATCCGATTCGCTGGCGCGCTCAGCTGTAATTTTATAAGTATGATTATATTGTCATAGAATGAGAAACAATTTTATATCTATCCTGTGCAATACTTGAACACCAATAACTCAAGAAATCGCACGATCAGAATAATAGTACGCCCCCAGTTCTCGATATATATCCCACTTACGATTACATATAGCCATGGAGGTAATGCTGGACTTGGAGAAGAGGCGTTCCGCCTCCTTGAACTTGCGATTCCGCTTGTCGGCCTTGGAATTGGTGGCCTTGTTGGAGGTCAGGTAGCGCTCCCAGCCGCGGATGATGTTCCCGCACAGCTGGGTGTCCTCCAAATAGGACCCCTCGAATGCGTAGATCTGTCGCTCCAGATTGGCCAGTTGTTCCTGTCAGTTCATACGATATAATCATGATAAGTGCCTTTGGTTTCTGGTTTGTTTATATTGTGTCTCACCGAAGTCTCTGCCTTCTTTTTGATGAGGTCCGCCAATTCAGCGCGTGTGTCCATGGATCCGCTTTTGGCATTCGAATTCGTTTTGCCCGACTTCTTGGGCTTGTTCCCATTCGTTTCGCTAACATTTTTACTCGTGGGCGAGCTCATGTTTTCAGAAAAGGCTAAAATTTTAAGAAATGTTTAACAAAACAACTTGTGTTGTTGTCAGTGTGACCGCAGAGTTCAATAATACCGTCCGGTTTTAAGAAATATACTTGTTATAACATTTTTATTTATTAAAATATACCAAAAGTATTCCAACGGTCACGGTTGATGTCTATGATAAAACTCAAACTAAATAAGTTTTTGGTTCAAAACTAAACTTATAGGTGGCGCTATTTATATGCGGCACCTAGTGCTTTATTTTAAGACTCGTAAAAAGATCGGAAAAATATAACTAAATAATATAACTCAGTAATAATTATTTGTATAAATTAATATATTTAATCTCTTTTTTATTCAACTCTACAGATCATCGGGATTAGGCTGAGTATAAAGCTAAGACCACCGATCGTGATGAAGAACACCCAAACGGTGATGTAGTGGCCAAAAGGAGGATTGGAGCAGTTGCTTCAGGATTAGGATCCCAGCTAGACATCATGCCATTTGGGCGATACTTAAGGCATCGGCTGTGTATATAAGGGCGATGACTGCCACACCTCCTGCCACTATTACCTCGAATAAAAACAATAGCAAAGCAACGGCCAGGCGGTTTATGTCATAGAAGGATCTATTAAGGAACTGGAGGTGTTTAAAGACTTCACCCACCGTTACAATCACAAAGCCTGAAACAAAAAGCGATAAGGAACAGAATAGGAAAGGCTCCATTACACTGCCCATAAGACCCGTGAATGCCAGCCAGTACATGCAGCTCGCATTCCAGGCCATGTCAACTTACCATCACTAAAGCCTCGATTGTAGCTGAAAGACAGGGACAATGTGGCAATGCATCTTAGAAGAAGGACTTTGAGTCCACAGTTCACAGTCCAACCGGCCACCCATTCTTCCGGCCCCTCCACAAATCTCCCCCAATCCCGAGCACTGTAAAGTTGTCGTCAGTTTTCACGTAATCTCCCGAACTCTGTGGTATCCTTTTAGGATATCACCCACTGCCATATCTCTCTCCTGGTGCGACAGCAGTAATGGTAAGTCCAGCCTATAAGGTAGTGCGAGGATAACAGTTCCTAATCCCAGTCCAGCTATGGCTATTCCATGCAACTGATCAATGTGCATTTCGTAAACCTGCGAGTCCAGTGGTCTGCACAAGAATATTTAAGAGATTTTAAAAACGGCAAAAAAAGTAATGATTGTGAATATAATTTTGCCATAATATTTAGCGTGTTATTAGACCTGTTTCTGTTCAATATATTTCTATAATCATCTGAACATTACAACCATATTGATTAAAGTTTTCTAGGTTGGACAAATTTTTCGAAAAATAAAAATCAGAACAGGCCAGTATGGAAAAAGGGGGTTAAATTATTACTTATAAGAGGAGGATTACACAAAGCTACTTAAATCCGATATATATTTAAGGAAAAAGTAACTAAAGATAAGTTTATGTCAATAAAGCATTTTTTCTGGATGCATTTTTTAATATTTTTATTACATAGCCACCATCAAAATGTACTCAAAAAAGGGTCAAAGTCCGCAATGACAAATTAAAATATTCTTAATAGCTGCCATTATTTTTCTTAAATTTTTCTTCACCGATACAAAAGCTTTTTTTTTCCTTTTTTCTGTTTTTTTTTGGTAAGCACTTCCTAGGGCTTGCCCCTTCGCCACTTTGCATTCATTTTGGGGCGAGTGTGGCTGCCATTGACCTCTCTTCTGTTATTCTTTTTTATTTATGCGTTTGCCGCAGACAAAAGATTCGGTTCACCCATAGCGCCATCATCATCAACGTCATGATGGTGATCATCTAATGATCTCCCCGTGGGTCTTGCATAGTTTATTGACCCAAGTTCGTTTCAGAGTTTGTTGAACTGCCGAAAAAAAGTGAAGCCAGCGTTCTAGCTCTCTCCCTCTTTCTTTCTTTCGTTGTATTCCGCCTTTCGCTCTCTTGCCGCCTGCTTTTTCTCTTTTACTTTGCTTTATTTTGGCTGCCGCTTTTTATGGGCCTTCGCCGTCGCGCCTATTTCACTTTCGTCATACGCGGCGTATGCGTGATTTTATTTTTGCAACCCATCTCCTTTCATGTTGACCATGGAAAGGCAATATGAAGTGTGGCTGCGGATGAAGACGAACTCGATTAGAAAATGAAATCATAATGCAGCGGCCAGCAAAAGCGAAACGGCAACGACCGTTGCAAGTCGCTGGCTAAACAAAGTCTGCCATTCCGATTCCGCCATGTTCCACTAACACAATCGACTCGGTGACTAGGTGACTAGCCGACTTAGTGACTAAGTGACCGACTGACTGACTGACTGACAGACTGCACGGTCTTTTCAATGTGTGTCAAACATTGGCGCGCGCGTATTTGAAAACAACAAAAAGTGCAGCAAAAAAACTTTCATTTTATTTAAGCAAACACACAAGGCGCGGCCTGGGCTAAGACTCGGAAAAACTTATTTTCATTTGGTTTTAAGCAAACATCTGCCAACAGAAAACTCAGGTGCTCGATCGGTTTTAGCCAACTTCTTCTGGTTTGCACTGGCAAAAAATCAATAGTCTTATCTACAGCGTTTTAAATTGTTTCAGTTTTTCAAAGTTTGGGAACAATTTTTGTTCTTTACCGAACCTTTTAACATTTTCATTATATTACAAATTAGCTAATCTGCGTAAACTTAATAGTTTACCCATTCCAGTGGTGATTTATATATTTTTTTGCATAATATTTTCATTGCTTTTAAATCAAATATTTAACATATATTTTTAGCAGTGCTGCCAATTGATGGCAGTTTGCAATAATTTTTATGATGAATTGCTTGGCCGCGTGTGAAATCTGCAGCAGTCGCAGCATTGGCCGGTGGAAAAGTGGAAAACAGCCAGAAAAGTGGAACACAGCTAAAGAAGCAGCAACTCCGAGTTGCAAGTGCAACAACTGCAGCAGCAGCAACGCAAACACTCTCGACTAATTAGCTGCGTTTTAGAAATTCAGGCGGCAATGAAAACAAAATCGAGTTCAATGCTTGCAACGATGACGTTGTTGTTGCACTCGGCGTGGTGTGTTTTCGACTTTTCCGAGAATTTCACATATAGCATACATAGGCCGAGCGGCGCTTTCCCAACGCAAAGCGAGCGAAAATGAGTCTGCTTTATTTTGGGCATCTAGGGAAAACGGCGAAATTAAGTGTTAAGCTAAGACATTGTCTTGGAGTTATTGACCATAGTTTATCAAAGCAAATAAATCATTTATTTAAATTATTTTCAAGCTTCTTGAGTGCTATATATTTTGCCGATAAATTGGAAATTATTGGATTTTTTTGAACATTTTCCACTTGATACTTTTTCAATTATTCGGGTCAAGAAATACCAACGTCAAAAATTGGAAAATTCAATTTAACTAAAAGTAAACATTTCTAAAAAAGAAAGGAGGAATATATCTTTTCAGAACCATTGTCCTAGTTTTTAGGAATATTTTACAAACTTTGATCTTACGATCAAACAAATGAAAGAGGTTTATTTTTTAAAATTGTAAGGAATCTAATATTTCCATTATACAGCGATTATTTTTAACTAATTATTTATTTTAATTATATTTAACAATTTCAAGTTATAAAGCACAATAAAGCCTTTTATATAATTAATTCTTCGTTGATAAATGCAAGTTGGAGTTCTAAAAAAATTTAAAAAAAGCTATACAAGCTTAAAAATAAGGAAACGTTTAAAAATCATCACCTTAAATGAAATGTGAAAACGTTAAATCTTAAAAATGTAAAGCTTAACCCTTAGAGGGCAAGCGGCGGCAGTAGTGACATCATAGCGGAGATAACAGAAATGCACTTGCCATTGAGCGCTGCACTCACACACACTAATGTGCGCGCCATGACAAAGCTTCGCAGCCACTAAACTTGCTCTCTCTCTCTCCTCTCTTGACGAAAAGCTCTAGTTTAATACAAATGTGCAAAATGCCGGAAGAAACTTGATCTTGATTATTTTCTATGTGCGAGCGAGCGAGAGAGTGAGTGCGCAAAAAGTTCAAGTTTAATGTCGCGGCCATCATGGCGCTCTCTCATTCGCGCTCTTCGCCCACGTCGTTGTATGTGTGTGTGAGGTGGGGCGTCACAATTTGCACTATTATTGTTGTTTTTGTTGCTTTTTTGTGTGTGGGCCCGAATGCATTTCAGATTGTAGATTTGTTCTAAGCGATTTGAAAGCTTTCAGTGCAATTTTTTGTTTGCGAAAACTATCCCTTTGTTTTCCTGAAATTATTGTATTTATTTTATTTGTTTAATGATGGCGTTTTGACATTTCCCTAGATTTTTAAATGAGGGCAATGACTATGTTGGATGGTCTGGTTCAATTTTTGTTTGTATTGGATTGCTAAAATTTTTTAAGGGGATTGACTTAATTTATTTAATTTTATTTTCTGGAATGCATTATTTTATCGAATTTAAATAAGTAGATTTCTTGAGAAATTTTCAAATGTTCCTTAAATTTGCAAAACGTTTAAAACTATTCGAATTTATTATTATGTTTAATTTTAGTTAAGAGGATTTTATAAAATATCAAATAAGAATAAATAAAATGTTGAATTATGTATTCAATGTATTCCTTTGTAAGTTATAGAAGAATAAAGAATGTTTAAATTGATGGTAATGATTTTCCAGCGAGGTATTTGCTCTTTACAATATTAAATTCTTACTTTACAAACTCAAAGATTGTTCAAGCCAAATAAACAAAATAATGTTTGAATATGTGGTAGGTATAAATGAATGAATGTCCTCTGCTTCTGTACGCGTTAATTTGTATTTACCTCTTTTGCTTTCGAATGGTTCTAAAAATGTCCCTAAATATTGTGTAATGGACACTTGAAAACATGTTTGCACTTCGCACCGTTTGGGCATTGCCCTCGACCAACTATTAATTATTACCGGAGTCTTTGGTTTGCCGAACCGACTGTTTGTTCAAAAAACGGTTGACCAACAAAAAACGCACAAAGGCAAACATTTCGGAGAAAAATAAAACAAAAACAGACAAAAATGCAATCAAAGTTAGGTAAGAGAACTGACCTTTAACAATGCT